TATTTCTATCGATGTGATGTTGGTGATATCTCACAATGTTGCTCGTGAGGCGAGGTAGCCACTATCATGGAATATTGGGAACTGGAGCGAACGAGGTGCATCGTCGGTCTCCCAGCTGGCAGGGATGTCAGGGACCTCAGGGGCGCAAGATTCGAAGAGAATGGCTGGCAGTGGAGCTTGGCCTCGGCGATCCCCTGCGAAGGCAGAGAGACGCGACTTGGTACTTTCTCGAGCTGTCCCAGGTGCACAGCTGCCTGCCAGATTTGGCCCAAGATGAGTGCATCTTCACCTGGTCAACCAAGTCACTGCTCACCATTCAGGCACCACATTGTCGCGTGTGCTGCCTGCTTTACACGTCCTCGACACGCTCAGGTACCGACGCGTAAATTGATTTCATGAATGTCAATTGGAGAAGCTTCCTGCAAGGTACCTGCGACCTCTTACATGATTCTAGATTCCACCCCAATCGGTCGACAACGCTGTCTTACCATACTTGTCATGTCATGCCATGGCATCTGAGAGTTGCAGGTGAATCATCTACGACAGCCTTTCAGCTCCTGGTCTGTTCTTGCAGATGCTGCCTGCCTAATCTTCTGGAGTCGTCCGTTGGAAGCACTTTTATATATCTAGCTTGAATGGTAGGTAAACGACAAAAAGAAATGTTTGGCTTCACAAAGGGACACGAATGAGACGTCGAGCTTGTCGCATGTGTTCCTGGACCACCTCACCTCCATGGAGGTCACAGTGAAGGATTGCTTATCGATAGCCTACAGACCACCTTACCTAGGGGAGGCTCCTTCCTGCCACGCAAGGGAATCCAGCCCACCCCGCAAAGGGTCCTCAGCAGTAAACAGGTACACCTCTACCAGGGTAAGATAGGTGCCTCACAAAGTCTCTCAGTAACACCAAGAAGCCCCCCGCAGCCACATCTAGAAACGACACGAGCCACCTGGTGACCCTCCTCCTATCGTTAGACCCCTGCCAACACATGCATTGCCTGCTCTGAATTTATTCTTGGGACCTCACAAGGTTGGGTGAACACTTTCTAAGGGGTACCCCCTTCTAAAACTCACGAAGCGGTGACGTTGCAAATAGCGTCTTCAATTCCGCACCTCAGCTACCCGACCTGACTTTGTACCGGGTATCTCGACCACTATCTAAGCCTTCTTTCCCTTCCCTTTCTCACCACCACAACCTGAGATACCCTTCCCACTCGAACCATGTCGCTGCAAGTCCCCTACCGTGGAAAGGCACCCAGAGAGGGTGCCACCAAGGCTGTCATTCTGGTAAGACCATCTGCTTTATGGTGTTTTGCGCGTTGCTTTATTGTGCGGCGCGTGCATCCCCAAAATCTCAAAACCCCGCCTTGCTACTCCCCCCTCCCTCACAAAGCTCGTCAAAGCTCATTGTCTTCTGCAAACGGTCGCAAGCTAACCAGAACCTTCAAATCTTCAGGTCGGAGGCCCCTCCAGAGGAACTCGATTCCGTCCTCTTTCCCTCGACGTTCCCAAGCCCCTCTTCGAAGTCGCTGGTCACCCCATCATCTGGCACAACTTGGCTGCCATTGAGCGAGTCCCCGGCAAGGAGATCACCGAGGTCCTCATCATCGGCTACTACGACGAGTCCGTCTTCCGCGACTTCATCAAGGACGCCTCCCACGAGTTCCCCAACCTCTCCATCAAGTACCTCCGCGAGTATGAGGCTCTCGGCACTGCAGGCGGTCTCTACCACTTCCGCGATGCTATCCTCAAGGGTCATCCCGAACGCCTCTTCGTCCTGAACGCCGACGTCTGCTGCTCCTTCCCTCTCCCCGAGATGCTCCAGCTCTTCCACGACAAGAACGCCGAGGCCGTCATTCTGGGTACGCGCGTCTCTAACGAAGCCGCCACCAACTTCGGTTGCATCGTCAGCGATGCCCACACCCGCCGTGTGCTCCACTACGTCGAGAAGCCCGAGTCGCAAATCAGCAACCTGATCAACTGTGGTGTCTACCTCTTCTCTACCGACGCCATCTTCCCCTCCATCAAGACCGCCATCAAGCGCCGTACCGATCGTCCCTCGCGCCTCGTCTCCTACCCAAGCTCCGAGAACCTCGAGAACAGCTTCATTATCACCGACGATGACGAGGAGCGCAAGAACGAGGTCATCCGCCTCGAGCAGGATATCCTCGGTGACCTCGCCGACACCAAGCACTTCTTCGTGTATGAGACCAAGGACTTCTGGCGCCAGATCAAGACGGCTGGCTCAGCCGTCCCTGCCAACGCCCTCTACCTGCAGAAGGCCTGGCAGAACGGCTCTAAGGAGCTCGCCCAGCCCAGCGCTAACATCATCCCTCCCGTCTTCATCCACCCGACTGCCACCGTCGACCCCACCGCCAAGCTGGGCCCCAACGTCTCTATTGGACCCCGCGTCCACGTCGGCCCTGGTGCCCGCATCAAGGAGTCCGTCGTCCTCGAGGACTCTGAGATCAAGCACGACTCGTGCGTCCTGTACTCCATCATCGGCTGGGGCAGCCGTGTCGGTGCTTGGGCCCGTGTCGAGGGTACTCCCACCCCTGTCGGCAGCCACACGACGAGCATCATCAAGAACGGCGTCAAGGTCCAGAGCATTACCATTCTCGGCAAGGACTGCGGTGTCGGTGATGAGGTCCGGGTTCAGAACTGCGTGTGCCTGCCCTTCAAGGAGTTGAAGAGAGTGAGTCTACCCCAACTACCATCAGTGTTTTCATATTGCTCACAATCTTATAGGATGTTTCAAACGAGGTCATTATGTAAATCGACAGGTTTGGGATAACGTTGGATGTGGTGGGGGATAACGGACGACGTAATGAAGAAAGGATTTGCATTGGGGTCAGATAGAGCTCCATCACTCTTCATAGATGCATGCGTCTTTGGTCACAAAAAGCACAAGTCGAATTCAGCAATTCAGAGCATTTCAATCTGCCATTTCATCTACTTTACATGTGTGATGAGTCCGGAGGACGTGGGTAGCCACACACTATTGAGTAAGGTAACCCTGCCAGACCCAGTGGTTTGACCAGTGAATGAGTGATTCACTCACCCGGGTTCCTACGATGCCTCAAGACAGTGTCACCCGGGATGCCTCAGGTAGAGCTTCCACAATCACCGCCCACGACCCTTATGAGGAGTGAATCGTGCTCAGCTCTCAACAAAGACCGGACCACTTGGTCGAGGGGTAGGGCTGTAGAGGCCCCGGTTAGATGGTGAAGACTCCCATCTATTTCGGGGTCCAAGTTCGAGCCTCGATCGGTCCATTCTTTTTCTCTTTTTCTTGATTTTTTCATCCGAAATCCCGTCCCCGTGGCCCTGATATTCACAGTCACGTCCTGATTCATCAACAACAAGCACCGGGCCACTTGGTCGAGGGGTTGGCCTGTAGAGGCCCCGGTTACATGGTGAAGACTCCCATCTATTTCGGGGTCCAAGTTCGATTCCTTGATCGGTCCATTCTTTTTTCGCCATTTCTCTGATTCTTTTTGAGGGGGTAGCTACATGTGGTCCGTCCGTGGCAACCATCTCTGCCTCACTAGCGATATGAATCAGCGGTATCTGTGAGGGGACATCGCTATTGACCTATGGCTACCTCGTTCAAAACTGCCAGGATATGGATCTTATGTAGCAATCCCGAGCATGCTGTCAAGCTTCATTCTCAGACTCGACTCCAATTTAAATGGGCCCAAGCCTGTCTCACCGTCACTGTGCCGTGAAACGTTCAACCACAGCTTTCTGGACAAAACCTTCTGGGATTTTGGCTGATTCTTTCGAAGATTGGACGTCTTTTTCAACAAGGGTTCCGCCCCTCTCTTCCCTGGTTCCAAGATCCGATTTCATCCATCACCAGACCTTCCCAAATCTCGCTCCTACCGCCTTCATACATGTGCTGTGTTCTTTGCCTGATGAACAGCAGGTCAGACAATCATCGCTAGGAAACGCCAGATACTCCGACAGACTTATAATCCAAGGTACCGTTGGACCTCACTTCAGCTCCCTTTACTTGGCTTACACATGACTGGAATTCTTTCCTGATTCGAGCCCCCCCCCCCCTTCTACAGAATCTTTTGGCGGAAGGGGCGTTTTATCATGACAAGCTCATTCTGCCAGATGACGATGATTCAATCATATCTAACCATGCGGCGGCTAATGAAAACTTGTCACTCGGAAGATGCCACATTGACTAAGACAATGTTCTCCGCGTGACTTTCCCAGATCAGCGGGGTGCCGATTATAGAGACCTAGCGTTTACGTAGGCGTACAGCTTCCGCATGCCCGACAGGGTCTAACCTGACGATGATGAGATAGATTCCTCCGGCCACAACGATGTTACTGCTTTGGTCGGCGGATGTTTCCATCTCTTGGGTGACGATGGAGGCTCTGTATCTGGGAAGACCCCAACTTGCTGTCTACCTGAGCGAAGAACACCACTAGCCAAGTAACTACCTTAGTGACGACACTGGCACTGAGCATGGGCGTATCGATCACGATCCCCCGCTGGAGTACGTATGTAATATGCTCAGTAGTGTTACCACGTGCGGGCACTTGAGAGAGTGCAGATAACCTGAGCAGTGGAAATAAGGAGAAACACATTTCGAGGGCTTTTCTTGTGGTATCTAGAATGACTAATAGGATGACGTTTCACAACCCATTATTCGTCCCCAATCATCTGTTGTCCGTTGTTCACTGTCCATTCTCATTATTCGTTCTCCGCTATCATCTGGAAGGCGCTCCTATCTCATCGTGCATTACCCTGCTGTGCTCATCCCACTTTGGCAATAGGAGTGATCAGTCGCAGCCAACTCCCTTGGCCTAGAATGGGCCTAGAATGTTGAGCCAGCGGGAGACACTTGTCAATGGTCCTCATGGCCACGAGGCCGAGGAGGTCGAATTTGAGCCGAAAGACTGTCAGATAACACAAGTGTTAGGGTCAAGATATCGAATGAAAGGGGTGAATGATGAATCAAGGGATCGAATCGACTTCGTACCTCACATCTGTACCTCCTCGAAGCCCCACTGAGCCCACTGCTCATCGTCAACGGCCAACGGGTCTGGGATCTGACCGACATCGGCAAGAACGAGCAGACGAATCCACTCACTCGCCAACTGAACACTGTCAGCTCCGTTGGCAGGCGCTTCCAACTTGCCGCCATACCATTCACGGATCAGGCGTCCTCCGGCTCTCTGGATGGCCGCCTCTATATTGTCGTGAATAGACTGACGGAAGCTAAAGAGCCTGGAGAGGCTCGCCTTGATCTGAGGGTTGTTCATGATGTGGGGGTAGCGGACGATAGGGTCGAAAATGATGAGTTCGATTCCGTCGCCATACTGACGAAGCACAATGGCGAAGCCGAGGCGAGGGCAGAGTGCCGACTAGACACTCTGCTGGCTCTGGGCGCCAGGTACATCGTCGACTGAAGGGATGGCACCCCAGGTACGACCAAACCAGGGAGTCGCAAGAGCGATGTAGGTGTTCTTTCCAGCCCGGAAAGCATTGATGGCTTGAATCATAGAGTTCTCGACCGTGAAACAGTTGCTAGACTGGCCCCCAGAGGGATTGTACCATTGACGGCGCTCCATATTGTCCTTGAAGTGTCCGATGGGGACAAGAGCGAGAGTCCACTTGCTGTTGGGCTCGTTCTTCGCAAGAGCAAGCGAGCAGAGGAAGGCGCGGGTCTCAAGGGGCATGGTGGTCTTGTTGGGAAGTGGGGGAGATGCGCCGGGATTCTGAGGGGTCTTGCCGAAGAGGACAGCTCGAAGGTCTGGCTTGGCGAGGAGCGCGATCTCGTTAGGGCTGAAGTGCGAGGGAGGCCAAGCGGGCATGTTTTGTCCCGGTTCGGCGATGTCGGTGCCCTGGAGCTGGGCGGTCAGAGCACTTATATCGTTGGGACGGGCGGTAAGAGAGTGTCTGCAGGGGCGGAAGAGCCGCGAAGGCGTCCTTGATCGCAATACAGGCATCGACTGCGGCGGCGAGATCAGTGACATTGTTCTCGCTGTTGGTCTGAGCCTGTCGATTGCGACGGGCGCGAACGTAGACTTCGTCGAGGGCTTTGAGAGCGTCGCCGGTAAGCTCGCCTCTGGTGTTGAGTTCAGTGGCCACGGTTGCGTAGAACGCGGGATGGCCGCGAAGGGTACCGAAGAGGTCAGCGCGACCGACAAGAGTATTGAACACGCGAACGAGACAGGCTCCGGCCTCTCTGTTCAGGGTGGCCATATCGTTCTCGTCCCAAGGCAGCTCGGTTCCGAAAATTGCTGTCAACACGAGGTGGGCGGTCGAATCATCAGAGAGGATCGGGCCAGGAGGGAATTCGAAGCCCCATTGCATGAGGATCTTCTTCGGACCGCTTTTGCCGCTTTTCACCATGGTTGCGCGTGCGTATGACTGGTGCTTGGCTTTTGGTGAATTGATGCTATCGTGAAGTTCTTGGGCCAACGAGGGCAAAGGGATGGTGTAATAGGAAAGAAGACGAAAGGATGGTGGAGCAAAAAAAGTATTCAAAGCTTGGGTGGAGGATATTTTATGGAAAAGTAAAGTGTACCTGCCGTACTTGTGGAAGAAAGGAAAGAGGAGGCTAGAGGGGCAACCATGCGTGCCTTCCACCCGAGCAGATTTGAGACGTTCACGTCTATATGGCCCGACCGATATCTTTTCTCAGGTGTCATTCTATTTGGTATGGGGAAAGAAGCATGTAATGGGAGTTACATCGTCTTATTCAAAATAATATGACAAGATGATATCATCAAGAACTATGTTTTATCAATTCACTATCCCACTTACTTCCATTGCTCTTCCTGATCTGTTCATCAGTACGGGTGGGCGACCCGAATAATCAACAGGTTGAAAAAAGAGAAAAAGAATGGACCGATCGAGGGTTGAACTTGGACCCCGAAATAGATGGGAGTCTTCACCATGTAACCGGGGCCTCTACAGCCCAAGAACCCCTCGACCATACGGCCCGGTGCTTGTTGTTGAAGAACAAGCAGATGAAGGCGAATATAAGGGCCACCGAGGGGAGGGGGGGAGGATGGGATGAATTCTGCATATTTTAATGGTCAAGACAACTGAGCAAGAAAAAGCAAAAAGGAATAGACCGACTAAGTGGAGGATCGAACATGGACCCCGAAATAAATGGGAGTCTTCACCATCTAACCGGGGCCTCTACAGCCCTACCCCTCGACCAAGTGGTCCGGTGTTTGTTGTTGGAGGGATATCAAGAATCATCGCATATAGACCTCGCTACCTGTCACTTCGTCGCTTCAAGCATCCTGTACTGACTGGCCGCCTTCAATCCCATCCAACCAGCTTTCCTGGCATACTATCGTCATTAAGCGTACTATGTTGCCAAATCACGGTTACCAGGAGCTTATAGCAATGATGCCTTCATTTAATTATCCATCCATTCATCGCGAAACATTCCAAAAGCCCATCGAGGTGATTCTCGAGTCTTATGTACGCTATCTGTTCTTTAACACACTTGTTGGTTGCTGCTGCGCGCACCAGTGATCAAATTTAGCACCTGGGAGAACGACAAGTGTCCCATTCCGATTAGAACAGAATAATTCATTTATGGCGTTCAGAAGTTGCCATGAACTCGAAGCAGGACATTTCATAAAACCAAAACCAGCAAGGTGGCTGTCATGAGCATGTCGCCCACTCTGATCCGCCTGCCTTTATAGCAACACCTCTCATGAAATTACAACCTTAACAGAACAACACATCAATCCTGAAAGCTTTTGATGATATAACGATGTTTTCATTTATACGTGACATGTGGTGTCTTTGTCTGCGAGTCCTTAACCATCGTCGCACTGATGTTGATTGTAAGAAATCTAAGCCAGCCAATGCTAGTTGTTTACTCGTACCTTGATCTGTTTACTAGGCAACGAGTCCAATATCATATTTCAGTGCATACCTACACTTCTTACTGTACGCTTGCGAACCAACATATAAATCTTGAATGATTTCCCCGTAGATCGTCCGAGTATGCCAGCAGGGAAACAACCAGTCGAGGACTGAGGTTGACAAAGTTGAAGTGAAGTCGGAGGTTGCCAAGCCAAGCCATCCACTCTGGTGGGCCAAGGCCGCCGATTGGGAGCCGCAGTGCCGCAGTGGGCCTCTCAGCTATCCGCCCCCGGCATTTCAACGGGGAATTCTTTTCCTCCACAGAGGGGGAAGGTGCATTGCTGGACGCTCCCGTCATGCCTTTCCTCCCAACCCTCGAGGCGGGACCTTCCAAGAAAAGAGTAATCGGACTGAGAAGTCAAATTCAGCCGCGTGCATGCACAGATTCGTCCCAATTCACTCGCGACTACAGACAAACTTGATTCTTCCAACAATCCGATGTCCATCAGCTCAGCAAACGTCAGTCAGCTCAACAGTTTACACTAGGGATCCTGGCAACGGAGTCGATGGCGGTAGAAAAAACCGCATCATCTGCTATGCGAACGAGGGGCAGCCCAGCAACACCTAGCAGTGGCACTCACCAACCCGGTCGAGAGACGGCTTTCGACGTCTGTCGCTGTCCGTCGACTTGCTAAGGCAGGCTTGAAGCCACCCGACAGCACAAAGAAACTCAAAGTCCGGATCGGACGCCGACATCAATGTTCGCAGCCAAGCCAGTCCTACACGCGGAAACGCACGTCTAGCCTGGCGCGGCTAGTAGCAAGCAAGCGAAACCACGACGGTCGTTGCACGTAACTTACTCAGTTCATCCCTGCACTCCGGCATCAAGTGATGTTATCATCTCCCCGGCACAATCTACTTGGTGCTTCTGCGATACACAAGGCGGCCAGCCAAGGCAACGTAAGCCACGATTCGGTACCGTGAGCCACCGACGGACGGCGGCAACAGCTGCCATGCTGCTGCCAGATTTGGAATATTGCCGTACCAATATCGACGGGCGAGGGATACGGGTGCCAGCATGCTTCAGCTGAGTCGGCATCCCTCTTAACATTGTGTTCATAGAAAAGGACATTGACCTGAATCATTGCAATCGAACAGTGGCAATGGTTTTGTACATCCTCATTCTATCGTCAAATCTCTTCACAGTCCCAGCACTCTCCCTTGCTTCAGAGTTTTCCGTTTCGATGTCTCTCGAGCCAGGGCAAACAACAATCGCGCCCAAGGCACAATTCCGAGTAGGCCCAGAGGCTTCGCAAGCTTTTCCCCTGTCCCCTGCATGCCCAACCCTAAGACTGTGTGGCCTTGCCTCTAGCGGGCAGCTCCCGCCCGTCGCCCCAACCGCGAGCTCCGACAGCTACCGAAAGCTTTGGGGCTAGAGCACATGCTACCTAGACCCAAACCGAGTAGCGCTGAAGTCCGTCATTCCGGAGACGGTTTCCGGCCTTGGAGCGTCGAAGGGCACCGTTGGAGGGAGGGGTAAGGAGGAATGTTGCTGGCCTGAGAATCCCGGACCGAACAAAGAACTCGCGCCGGCTTCGAGTCGGTATCTCTCAGGCTCTCCTCTCTCCTCCACTCACCAGAACACACCACCACCAACTGAATGGCCTCTGGTGCTATTCTCACCCACTTGTTGGCCTAGATTCGGCCGCACGGCCTAAAGCCAGACCAGTCAACAGGTGTCACTGACTTCGGGGTGGGCGGATCGACGCAGGCTCTGACACTGGCGAGCGGTGCTAATGCAGGGCGCCTAGCCTTGGCGTGCGTAGCGAGCTGCTTGACGGGTACAGCGCATGCGACAGGGCCCGTCGTCCCCTGTAGAGCGGCGCTTGGCTGCGGGTGCCGTGGGTCTTCGAGACGCCACAAGGGAAAAGATGGGTGGGATAGTCGCTGGGGGGCTTCCTTTTTCGGTCGTTTTCAACCATCGGAGGATGGACGGAAAGGCCAGGTGCTAGGAAAAACCTCAAACCCCCTCGAGCCGACATCCAAGGTCTCCGGTCCACCCACTCCGACCCGGTGACGACGTGGTGATAGGACGGCTGCAGGGCTTAACAGATGATGATATTCGCCGATGTTCGTGCCATGATATCATGGCGACCGGGTTGGCTGAAACGCAACAACGGGGGATTGACCAAATGACATTGGATTCCCCAGAGTCGAACTCAGGATTCCTGTTTTCGGCAAATTTATGCCGCCGGAGAAGAAGGTCGGATGAGGTCGCACGCTGTCGAGATGAAGGGATCTGGATCAGGGCTGTGGCTGGTATGGATGAGAGACAGAGTACTACGGCGCACCAATCTCAACTTGGAGTCATGGAGATGGATGACCACGGCCACTTGGTCTCCTTCATCCGTCCGAAGTACGCAGAACACATGCACACATGTACGGAGAGGATTCGCATATCCGTACACAGCTCAAAGATACGCTCTGGCAGGTTGGGATTGGGCTGGCAGCACCACATGTTTACCCAGACAACGAACATCCTGGGAGATCCTTCCCCCTCTTGACGACACCAACTTCTTTCTTGGTGTTCTGCACCAGACAAGCGCCAAAAAGAAACGGAGAAAAAAGTGTACCAGAGTGACACTGTTCTGGACTCTTGTCCGTCGACTAACAACGAGGAGGCTCCAGTCCAAGGCAAGGGATCAAGACATCTTTGCATCTGTCGAACTGTTCGCAGCCAATCCGTGCCTGAGGAACTCATGGCCCCCTTTTCTTCTCCCAGGCCAGGGACGCATTCCCATCCCCGAAGTCACCAATCATGTCTGATTCTCCATGCTCAAGTTCTCAACGGGGAGAAATCACCATGTCTCGCGAGCTCACTGGATCTTTGGATGCCGCACCACATATCCACGTCTTCCACCAATCCCGACTTCCACGTCAACATGGCCTCCGCCTCACCAACCCCCTCTCGGGAATCGATCGGGGCACACCCCGGCTCACCCCCTCTTCCGACGACCCCTCACCGCAGGTCAAGGTCCACATCCAGCACCACGGCACGGCAAGTCAAGACAGCCTAAAGAACAGGCCAAGGCCAGGAACACAGTGCAGTGCCGACCTCCCCGTCCCCGCTGCCGTGTGCCCAGCACCGCTGAAAATCGACCGATGCCATTCTCATATCCACAACCACGCAGAATCGCTGTCTGCTTCTGGAGCCCAAACATCTCACTAAACAAGCCCGACAAGTCCAACATTCCACGCATTTCGCTCCTCACCAGCACTCATTGGTCATTTCGGCCGTGGTACCTGATCAGCAGAAGCCACACCGCATTCGAGACAGGCCCTCCAGCTTCTAGGAAATTTCCTCCAAGCGGTCGGCTGCGCAAGCCTTCTGTCTCAGCACAAGACAGGCCGGTGGTCGCAGTCAATCCAGCAGTCTATCTTCGGTTTCTCAATCATCAATTCTTCTGCTGTTTACGACGTCTTACAGGCCAGGCCCCTTGTTGTTGCCTCGTCGAATCACATATTTGGTTGCTCCGAGTACAGGATAGAGTAGTTGCAAAAATAGCAAAACAAGCAGCCCCCTCTGTTTTGCGTGCCCGGTTCGTCCGAATCGCTCTGCTTGGGGGAAACTACAGCACTCTCACCATGACTCGACGGAGGGAAAGCTGTGTTCTATCTCTGACATCACTAGGCCCAGCAAAATCATCCACGGGCTTTGCATCGGGACAGTGCAATTGAGCTTGTGGCACTGACCCTGGTCCTGGTTGAGGTGTGCCTCCAGCCCAGCCCTGCTACCAGAGGCGACCTCCCCAACCACCCCTGGGCCACTATGTTCACATCAACAACCATCAGTCATCCACCCACCCATCCACACTCGCAAATCAATATTCAACTGCTGCTATGTAGTGAAAGTGTGGATGAGGTGGCTGTGATGTTGTTGTTGTTGGTCTGATGTACAGAGTAATAAGCCTGGAATGTACATGCAGATTTGCTTTGTTCCAAGTGCTGTTTGCAAGTAGCCGCATGCCTCTCTGCATATCAGATCACAACTAATACCAACCTTCACAAACACACATGGCTACTTACACCACGTATACACACGCTACTGCAAGTTCCTTAGCTCAAGGTATTTGGTCCATCAAATCCACATTCTGGATGTCAAAGACGCGCAATACCCACGGCTGAAGCTTATCTTCCTCCCCTACCAGCCTACCCACCAGGCCTTACTCACAAGTCTACCCTCCCTTTCTTTGTATATGAACCACCGGACCCCAACCCTCCCTCCTCCTCGGTCTCCCTCTCTTCAGCTCAACTTCGCCATCCCTGCCCATACTCTCGCTCATAGGGTTGCCCTCCACCAAGGAAGCCTGCCACGTTTATTTCACTGAACCTATTCCAACACCTTATTTCTTTCCACCGACCCTTCGACACTCACTCATACGCATCGCGCGTGGCAACGGCAAAGGAACAACAGACGACCATCACCTCACACAGCATTGTGCCAGAGGTACCATTCGAAAACAAAGCTCTCTTCCTTCCTCGGTTCTCTTCCGATCTCACGCTTCCCGTGCTTCCACGAGGCACCAACACAGGCAGTACCCGCCTTTTTGGGTGATTCTTGAACGAGGGCATTGTTGGACAAAGCGGGTCAGGAGCTTTTGCTGAACTACCCTTCACCACTTCACCTTTGGGCAAAAATAAATCAACTTGGTTGTTGGAAATTCTTCTCACCACCACATCAACATCTCACCTGAGCTACATTGCTTTGCCAACAAACTACCTGCCACAACAACCTTCACCGCCTCCTTAGGAACCACAAGAACTTCGATACAGGTAAGCTGATCTCTATTGCGACTCCTCTGTTGTCAGCGAGATGGGACTCCGATTCCTCTCATGGAGCGCGTCTCGCGGTTTCGTTGGCTCTATTTTGGCGATCTGTGAGCTTGCTACATCGCTCATCCTTCTTCTTCCATCATGGCGGGCGACGTCATGGGCTTGTGGCATCAAACCATGAATATACCAGCGTTGTTGGCCCGGGTATTTTCATTGTTTGATTTCTGGGTTCAGTCAGAGCTCCCGTCGACTTTTCTGTCCCTCCTGAGCTGTCTGGTGACTCGTGAAGTGGTTTGTACTTCATGATCTCGCTGGTCCTGCACGATCTTGCCTACATTTCCGGAGGATCAGCACACTATATGAAAACTCAGAATCCTCAACTTGAGCGAAAATGAATCAGTCTTGCTAATACATACATCTCTAGCCAACAAGATGCGCTCCTTCGCGATCATCCCTGCCGCTTTGGCTACCTTGGCCGTGGCCATGCCGCAGGCTGCTCTCAAGCCATCAGCGAGCCCCCCCGCCGGTTGCTCCACAAGCTACACTGGCAACTTCGGTCTGACCGTTGTCGAGCTCGGAAAGCGAAGCCTCGATGTAAGCCTACCAGCCTCCGGGAAAAAAAAGAGATTTTATATTGACAAACGCAACAGAAGCGTGGCTCCTGCACTGGAACTGGTTCTTTGGACCTCACCCTCAAGGACGGTGTCCTGACCGATTCCCAGGGCCGCACTGGCTCTATCGTCGCCAACTACCAATTCCAGTTTGACGGTCCCGCTCAAGCTGGCGCCATCTACACCTCTGGCTTCTCCGTCTGCTCCAACGGCTCCCTTGCCCTTGGAGGCTCCACCACCTTCTACCGATGCCTTTCTGGTGACTTCTACAACTTGTACGACCGTCACTGGGCTGAGCAGTGTTCTCCCATTCACCTCTCGGCTCTTCCTTGCGGCGCCGATGCTCCCGTTCCCTCTGGACAGGTTGTTGGTACCACCATGGTCGTTACCACCCTCGTCACGGTTATCGGCGACGGTCAGCCTCAGGTTGTCCCGACCACGATCCCCGTCCCTCTCTGCCAAATCGGCGATGGCCAGGTTCAGGGCCACACCACCCCCTGCGGCGAGCTGCCTCCTGTCACTGTGACGCCTTCTGCTCCCGCCAGCCAGCCTCCTTACACCCCCCCAGGAACCCCGGTTGCCCCTCCTGCAACCACCGCGCCGGTCGTCCCGCCGGTCCCCACCACGAAGGTGCCCGTTCCGGTTCCCTCGGTCCCGTCGACCCCCGTCAACAGCACGGCGGTCGTGACCACCCCTGGCACCACGGCTACCACGCCTGCGACCACGACCACACCGGCGGCTCCCCCCGTTGCTGCTGGCCAGAACCTGGCTCCGGCTTCGTTTGTCGCTCTCGTTGCCACTCTGATGGCAGTCGTCTGCCTTATCTAAGTCGCTTGACTCGGAATGTGTGGGTGGACTTGAATTGGTTCACAAAGGCTTAATTGGCATTTTTGCTTCTCAATACCCTGCCAAGAAATCGGCATTTTAATTCCATGATGATGACCAGGAAACGGACTTTGTACAAGAGCAGAGGATGGATGGGTTTGCAGGTTTGCAAATAGGTAGCTAGATAGTTGGAAGGGGCTGTGACAAGTTCCTGACTCCACCACTAGAGCAATACCAGCACATCTTCAGCTGTAATAGTTTGAAATGACTTCGTGATCAGTGACGGGCGAACATGGCATCCGATGTCGCTGCGCACCGCAGGGAGTGACATTCCACCTGCAGGGATGTGACTGGAGATAAGATAAGAGCTGCACGGACCTCAGCGCAGACATCTGGGCCGAACCTCCAAATTTCTGGCATGCGCATCCTACCGTGACGTCTCGGCCAACCTTCTTTCGCTCTGACAACACACGAACACCCAGCCATCTCTTTCGACCAACATCTCTCTCTACCTTACCTCGACCTGCATACGTACGCACGTACATCTGACACGTACGCAACGCGCACATACAGCCATGTCAGAATACTGGAAATCGACACCAAAGTACTGGTGCAAGCACTGCAGCATCTTTGTCCGCGACACGAAGCTCGAGCGACAGAACCACGAGGCGACGGGCAAGCACCAGGGTGCGCTCAAGCGGTTCCTGCGCGACCTTCACCGCGGCCATGAACAAGAAGAGCGTGAAAAGGACAGGGCGAAGCGCGAGGTGGAGAGGTTGAAGGGGATATCGTCCGGCACGCCATCATCATCATCATCATCCTTTTCAAGACCCGGCGGTTCGAGCAGCAGCGGCGCGCCGCCGTCGGCGGAGGCGCAGCGGAAACAGCAGATGGAACAGCTCGCCGAAATGGGCGTTTCGATACCGACGGAGTTTCGGGGCGATATGGCGATGGCGGGGGAGTGGACGGTCACTGCGACAAAGGTTGTCGACGACGAGGAGGCGGCGAGGGAGAGGGACAAGCCTGTTGAGGCTAAGGCTGTTGGGGTGAGGAAGCGGGAGCAGACGGAGGAGGAGAGGGAGGAGCAGGAGGCTGTGAGGGGGTTATTTAAGAGGCCTAAGAAGTGGGGGAGCACGAGGACGATGCCGGCTGACGACGAGGATCTTGATGCGTTGTTGAGTGGGAATACGCTGATAAGGGCTGTGAAGAAGGAGGAAGAGAAGAATAAGGCTGAGGTGGATGTCAAGACTGAGGTGAAGCAGGAGGGTGAGGGGGAGGATACGGCGGGAGCTACGTCTGATGCGCCGGCTGTTAAGAGTGAGCCGGTGGAGGACGAGGCTGGGAAGGGCTTGGACGTGCCGGCCTTGGGAGAGGACGGCGTCAAGAAGGAGGATGAGGCTGCGGAATCCACGGAGGCCGCGGCGCCGGCGGTAGTGTTCAAGAAGCGCAAACCCAAGAACATGCGACAAAAATGAAGATTTTCTTCTTTGGTGGGGAATGGATATACAGCAAGTCTGGGGTGCATAGCAAGGCGTTGGGCATTGGATTCATACACTACCGTACATAGATACGCTGTTTTCAAAAAGATGTACAGATCAGCGACCTCTCAGACGAATGGTCAGGGATAAATACCGTGGATGTTTGCATCATGGATGTTTGCATCATGATCAATGGGAGTATTGGTCTGGCCGTCTGGCGTGTTGGTGCACAGTTGCATTGCATTGGTGATGGACGAATCCTTCTGGAGCAGCAATACAAATACAGCGTCCCATGTCCCATCGTCCCATTACCAAACGTGCCAATTACTGGGCCTGAATCTTCCCCCGGGCGTCTAGGACGGGGGTTAGCGGGGTAACACGTGACTCACTGGGGAAATGGAAGTCACTGCGCGCACCGGCACCGGGCAGAACGGGGACATTTCCTTCTCTTCCATGCGTCCAGTCATTTATTTTCTCGGCAC